TTTTGCAATTTTAAGTCACTAACAAAAGTTTAAAAAGATTTCAAACTAAATATATAGTTTAATTGATCTTATCAAAAGCTATTTAAATATATATATAGTTTTTTGTAATTAAACCTTTAGATAAAAAGTTTAAGTTTATAATAAAATATTTGATGGACTAGGCTGTTCGCACTATATATATATATTTTTTTCAAATTTTGACCCAGCCGGGTTATGAAAAACCAATTAATTAATTTTGCATCAATCAAATTTTAAATATATTAGATTTATAATTAAGTATAGATTTACTATTGGCCTTTAATACTTCATGATGGTTTTCTAAATAAATCAATCACGATCAAAATTGATTGAATAATCGAAATTTAGAATTTAATACACAAACGTATATGGATAATTATGTAAACATGCAAAGAATTGCTAATTGTCGCCTTTTGTTTAGTAAAAAAAATTTCATTGATATTAAAAACCATTCAGGCTGCTCTCCCGAATATTAACAATGTAAATGTGTTTAGAAATTACTAAGAATTTTAAAACAAAGAAACCTTGCAACAAAAAGAATTCAAATACTTTTTTATTAGCAATAGATGAAATTTGTAAGTTTCTCTTTGATTATAAATTTAAAAATTGTCATCTATTTTAAAAGAACTGCGTTTTTTTTTTTTTTACAAACTAGTTCTGGAGAAAATTCACTTTGTAACTATTTTGAAATTTGATAAGACAATGGCCTCCGATGTAAAAAAATATAACTTTGCAAGCCACCTAATCTGAATAAACTTTTTACTTTGTTTAGCTCTGCAAAATAAAAATTCGGACTGGATCCTTTTCCAAGTAAAAATTCATTTTTTAACCATTAAAAGCGTTGTATAAAAGAAAGGTGTTATTCTTATTGACAAGACTAGTGGGATTACTATGAATAAAAAAAAAAAATCTAATAACAATTGTCTTAACTTTCATATTTTGTATTTCTAAAAAATATGATATCAGGAATTGACTTTTTGATTTTGACTTAGGAAAGTGTCAGATATCAGCTAATATCATAGGGTGGAGTAAGCTCTGTAGTAAATTGATCATAGCTATATAATAACTGACATGTTGCTTATTGGGTTTCACTTTAGAATAAGGTCTTTTTTATTCGTTCATTATTCATTCATAAATGTTACTGACTTACACCCAAGCACAGATTTTAAAATATGATAAAAAAATAAAGATAAAAATTAAGCAAATATTTAAGACAAAATTTACATTCTAGATTCTTTTCAAATATTTTCATGAGGGTTATCATTATTATGCCAAATAAAAAAAAATGCCGTATTACACTGATATGTAAAAGATCTACTTTTTATAATATGTAAAATACCCGAGTGTTGTGCATTTTGCAATATACAATTACCATTTATTTTGCATATATTTTATAGTCCAAAACAAAGTCGAGCTGTTTAGCATAGTTCATAACATAATATTATCGCAACATTATATAGACAAGTTCTCTAGTAAATTTAGATTACATTCGGAGCACCAACTATTACATTTTTTTTTTGATATTACTAATGTTGTATACCAAAGTAAATGTGTTCTGTTATTTTTATATTCAGTTGAAAACACTTGAAATCATATGTTTTCTCAAAAGCTTCGGATTGAGATAATTGACATTTTATAATTTATGCTAACCGGTTTGAAGTTAGAATATTTTATTTGCATTTTTGTTTTTTTGATATATTCACAAAATTTTTTACAACTTTTAACTTCTACATCATCATTTACATGATGGATATCCTTCAAGTTCTCAATTAGATGAGAAAGTTAGGAACACCACACTCTTTTCCAATGATTCCGACGGCTTTGACTTTTCTTATAACAATATGTATGAATGATTGCACAAAAGCGAAAAGCAAAAATAATAACAACGTACTTGAGACATTACTTCCTGGTCCTTCATGCTTTTAATATGATATGAAATCTGGTAAAACCATATATATTTTTCAGTATGTTTATGATGAAAGACATTTCTTGGTGATTTTGATTATAAACCCAAATTTTACCGCTATATTTTTCAAATCGATCAGCAACCCGACTACAGTATACAAAGCAGAGACACTCATTGCAAAACACATAAGTTCAAATTTGTTATGCACTCTGCAACCTTTGACTACTTCAACAATGAACGTAGAAGTGAAAGATTAAATCCAATTGGGGAGATATTGCAATTAGTGATGATCGTTCATACAAAATTACTTTAAAATAATTTATAAAATTAGCTTTATTAAACAGTTAACAGTTTTAAATAAAACAAGTTTAAATTTTATTAATAGTCATCTATAAATAATTGTGAATGAATGCCTCTTCTAAGATTTCATATTTTTATCTTGCATGTCGACATCATCACTATGATGCCCACCACTTCTGATTGGTTATACTAATTATTCACATATCTGATATTCAAATTTATAGTTCTCCGATAGTGAAGTGATGGGGAAATTAGGGCACCCCAGTTCTCTAACAATACAGCATGCAATTTTTTTTTAATAGCATTATAAGTTAATTCGTCATTTGTACTAAAAATAGAAATATAAAAAATAAACCAGCAAGCTAGTACGTATTGAAATAGTTAAATAAAATTTAATTTCATTAACGTTTGTTAGGATTTTTTTTTCTAACATTTAAGATTCATAAACTTTATTATTCAATAATCAAAATAATTGACTTAAAGTTTATATATTTGTATATATAAATACTATACAGTTTAAAAATAAAATATATAAAATTTACACATAATAATAACAACAGATAATGTGCATAGCAATAATAATAGATAATATACATAATAATAATAATAGATAATGTACATAATAATAATCATACAAATGTAAAATTAAAGTTAGACCTCCAAAATCAGGGCAAGCGCCAGACAAATGCTAACAAAGAAACGTAAGCTATCATAGCAACCAACCCAGTAGCTGCAACATACCCACCGCTAGTAACGAATGGTTTAGAAGGATCAAGTATGAAATCATAGTGTCTTCTAAAAAAAGAAACGACGAGCAACGAACATCCAAACACTAAAAATACTATGCCGATTGCAAAAAAAGCAGGTTCGAATATTCGAAGAA